GGGCCGGGCCCTCGGAGGCCGGGGTTGGAGGGGCGGCGGTGATGACACGGGGGTGTGCTAGCACATGGCCACATGGAGTCACGATGATCACGGCCACCACTCAGAAAACACAGCGGGAAACACACACACCGCCCTGGGTCGCTAAACGCTACATCGGCCTTCAGGTCCGGGAGCGGCTCCTGGCGGGGACACGGCCGGGCGTCTGCCCGGGAGGTTGGAAGGGGATGAGGAAGCTATGGCGCTGGGGAGACGAGGATGAGTTGGTCGTTGCCATGTTGGAGATGAACACTTCTGCCGTGTATGGGTGCCCCTCTCAGAGGCCTCTGAGTGAGTGTGCACTGACTCAAATGCATATAAAAGAAATATGGGTCATGGAGATTCACAGTTATTGCAGCCATTAAAGTGTCTAAGTCTGGGTAACCAGCAGTCTGAGACAACCAGCCCTGAGCTAGCTGCCCCAAGTTGCTACTGTAGAGTCTACTGCAGTTTGTCTATTTGCTTACCTGAAATAACAGAGCAGTTATAATACTGATTACTTGTGATAGTATTCTGTTAATAAAATAAGGATTTATACAAAGCAATATCGGACTTTTAAAACAGTTCGGTGCTATGTTACTTGGCACAGTTAGTAATGAGCGCATCAAGACCTCAGCCAGTCCTGGGGGACTTCTTTTTATGAAAATATGGAAGCATCTGAATCTGCCCTAGCGTTTAAGGTTTCGGTCTGCTCTCACACGCGTCTAAGGTGCCGCCTTCCTATCAGGTGAGTGGAGCTCCTCAGGAGTCTATATTGCTAATTCGTGGACTGAGACGCTTGCCTTTCACACACAAATGCTACCTATACAGTATGTATATATGTATATTTATATATTTATATATTTATATTATATAAAGTTTACTTACGGATTTTCATCAACCACATCAGGTCTACTTAACTTTTGCCCATTGTCAATAAAAGAGCAATAATGCAGCAAGTTTTGGGGGTTTTGTTTGGTTCTGTCTCTGGCTTTTTGTGTCTTGCTTCTTCTCTTCCTAGGCTGGGTTCTCATGTGCATGTACAGTGAGGAAGCAGACAGCTGCGGGCCTCGGGGGGGCAGGGGGGAGCTCAACGTCTACTTGGCCGGCGGCACCGATTCAAGGCTGATGGTGGCCGAGGTCCCCCCGGGTCGAGGCGGAGGGAGCCCGGGGCGCCACCACTCAGTCACACCAGGGGCTGTCCCTACAACAGCAGCCCCGGGCCCAGGGGCCTCCGTCCAGGCCGGGGAAGCAGGGGGGAGAGGTGGGAACAGAAAGTGCCCTGGGTCTGGTCTGGGGCGGCCGCCCTCGGGCGCGCCTCTGTGTGGTGTGCACAGGGGTCTGGGACCCCTGCCCGGGCTGTCTACACAATTGTGCTGATGCCGCT